ATATATATATATATATATATATAGATATATATATGTATGTATGTATGTATATTTTGACGTGTCTTCGACCATATATTAGAGTATGTTTGAAGTGGAACATATACAAATCAGTTTACCATCAGTTTACCATTCTTTTGCGGCTATCCATCAATCACCTCTATTTGATATAAAAAAGTACAATATTAAAGCGTTATTGAGATTCTACTTACCAATCGGATCGAATGGTATCTGTCATCTCCTGCCAAGCCAATTCATATGTGTCAGTGACGGACTGTATGTACTAAAGATACAAAGCAATCTTCTGCCTTTTCCTTGTTTTTGGTAAGCTCGAAGTAGGCTCATATTAATTGTCACATGAGACTCAGTTGGTGGCAGTTGTGGCTTGTACTAGTAGTGTGCTTGCATACATTAGTATATGTTCCCTGATCCTCACGGACGCCAGGAAATATTTTCTCTGTAGATATTGCTTGATAGTTCTCTTACATAAAACTCCGCCTAGGCCCATTTGACTCGATCTTGAAGAATTAGTTTACATTTCTTGAATGCCGTTGGGTGATGTCAACATTCACTGTGAACAGCTAGTGCTCTGGTGCGCATTTCACCAACTCAGGGCTGAAGCACTCACTCCAAATGGTGCTTTAGCACACAATTAAAATCTCTGAATGGCAGTCCTGATGCTAAACTCGGATTTATTATATCAATCATAATACAATATGACCATAGGATACGAGCATACGACTATATGATACGACCATACGACCATATAATACGACCATACGACCATACACAGGTACATACGAACGCAATTAGCATCTATGAATGACAATTACAGTCCTGATTCTAAACCCGAATTTATCATTCATTATGCAGTACGACCATACAGTACGACCATACCCAGGTACTACGAACACAATTAGCATCTATGAATGACAATTACAGTCCTGATTCTAAACCCGAATTTATCATTCATTATGCAGTACGACCATACAGTACGACCATACCCAGGTACTACGAACACAATTAGAATCTATGAATGACAATTACAGTCCTGATTCTGAACCCGAATTTATTATTCATAATACGATACTACCATATGATAAGACCATACGACCATGTGATTCGACCATGTGACCATACACAGGTACAACGAACGCAATTAGCATCTCTAAATGTCAGTCACAGTCCTGATTCTAAACCTGAATTTATCACTCACAATACAATACGACCATATAGTACGACCATGTGATCATATAACCATACGACCAAACGACCATACTCGGGTACTACGAATGCAATTAACATCTCTGAATGGCCGGCGCAGCTCTGTTTCTACACCCGAATCCATCATAAAACCATACTATACGACCATACGACCATGCACAGGTACTATGACCCGCATTCGGGATTCGCCGACCGCTTCAAGGAGGCGCGCAAGTTGCTGGATTACAATTATCATCACAACCTGATGGTCAGCCGACAGGAACTGCAAGACGCGATTCTGGCACGCATTGCCAATGCTGCGATGGACTCTTGCGAGGACGACGGTGATGAGGCCAATGCTGGTGTAGGTAGCCGTCCCGGTTTAGATTTCGGGGCCAAAACCGGTACGGGAAGCAGCAAACGAAGCGCACAACGACCGTGGATTGTGTTCTCGGGCGGGGCTATGGGTGTGGGCAAGGGATACACACTTAGCACTCTCAATAAAATGGGTGCGTTCAAGCTCAGCAGGTTTGTGGTGATCGACCCAGACAAGCTGAAGAGCGAACTACCGGAGATGGCCGGATACCTGCGCGAAGAACCGGAAACAGCCGCTACCAAACTGCACCGAGAATCCACGCAGATGTCCGATGTGCTGTTCAACTACGCCTTGGCCCAGGGCAAGTGTATGCTGGTGGATGGGAGCCTCAGGGACGTGGAGTGGCACAGACAGTTGTTTGCCGATGTTCGGGACAACCATCCGCAGTATCGCATTGGTATCATACATGTAAGCGCGAAGAGAGAAACGGTGCACGCACGCGCACAAAAGAGAGGCGAAGTGTCCGGACGGTTCGTTCCCGTGGAGACGATAGATGAGTCGTACAGCCAGGTGCCCAAATCTGTGCACCAACTGGCGCCGCTGTCGGATTTGACGTACGAATTGTCCAACGAGGATCACAGCCCTGTGGGCATAGTATCGTGCCAGGTGAGGGGTGAGTATGTGGATGTGACGGACTATACCTGGGACGACTTTGAAGCCTCGTGGGAACGGCCGGACGAGCCAATCGAGGCCGAAGGCTCGGAGGTTGAGGACAAAAGGGATCTTGAGTGTGATAATATACTCAGGCGGAGGACCACTAATGGACCGGACCGGAGGATCAAGAAAGTGGGCCGGAGGAGGCGAATGTCCCTAGTACGGGATGGGGGTATGGGCGACTGCTACAACGACCCCAGAGCCCACGACGCAGCTATGGACATCTGGTCCAAAGCGTACCCGAATTTCTGTGCCAGGTGCACCTTGGTAACGGACAGGACGTGTGGGGTCTGTGTCCATGGCAAGCATTACTGTGCCTGTGAGGCCTGCAACCCATCGGCTGGGTCGATTAAGAAGTACCGTTTGAATATGGTGCAGCAGAAGTCGTAGCAGTGGGGGCTGGCGAGTGCCGAACACAAATACCTATGCCAATGGAAGTGAAGTGTTGGATTGGCTTTTGACGCCAATAAACCGTTGTGTGTGCAATTGTTAGTGCGGATTGCAATAGAAACAATTTTATGGATTATCTCTATTCAGAAACATTGATGTATGAATTCTATTATAACAGAAACATTGATGTGTGAATTCTATTATGATAGTGACATTGACGTATAGTGCCATTGATGTATGAATTCTGTTATAACAGAAACATTGATGTATATATATATATTTTTATATGTATTCTATTAAAAAAGAAACATCAATGTATGAATTCTAATAGAACAGAACCATTGATATATGAATTATATTAAAATGGAAACATTGATGTATGTACTATACATATTAGAAACATTGGATGTATGAATTATATTATAATAGGAAAATAGCAACAAGGGTACAGTTCGGTACTGAGATCAGGTATCGAACTACAGAGGTCTACCACATAGAGTGGTTCAGGGGATGCTGTCAGAGTGATTTGTGTACTGATAGTGTCGACTAGGTGGAGCTGATATGACAGGGTGATGGATTATGAGGATGTCAGGACGACACTATGCTGGATGCCTTGATTGGTTGATCATTAGGGGGATGAGAAGCCAGCTTAGTTAGGATGATGTCGAGTGAGACATGAGATATGCAGGATAGAAGCATACAGCATAAGGTGTGCTGTAGTGGATTCTAAGTAGACCATCAGTAGTTATAAATGTATTCTGCACAGTAGGATAGTCCGAGCATAGATGCTGGAAGAGCATGAAGAATTGTCTAATAACCTGTTTGCTAACTTACTGTGCTGAGAACTACAATTAGACAGACCGTGCTCAACTAGCAAGTACTCATCTACTTACAAATAAGTATTTTAGACGAGCCGGCTTAATATATTACAGGCCGTGTGAGTTGAGGTGCAAAAAAACAACTTTTGAATTATGAGGGGGTTCATTAATATCAACTCTAATTACAACAATAACAGACAGTATTATCGAAGGCGTTAAGTCTTGGAAGTTCCTAGATGACGACGACTGGACTTTCCTGGCGCGTGAGACGACTAAGGCTTACTCTCTCCTTAAGTTGAAGGAACAGACCAGTGCAGGCTGCGATCAGTCTGTAGCCGTGATGATCCGACAAGTTAGTCCTTCGGTTGAATATAAGTTGATATCGATGAACAGCAACAAGACAACGGTAACCCGTATGGAACAGAGTAATGTGCGAACGTTTTGGGGCATGTGCGAACCTTTTCAACCAGGGTAGAAGTGTAGCCGTTCAGGCCTGGGCAACGGAACTCAAAGATGATACGTATGCGTTTTACCCGGAGTGTCAGAGATTGGCTCAAGAGTTATCAGAGGTCGACAGGCGATCTATTGTTCTACAAGAGTCTATGGATTTTATCGAAGTTGAAGAGGGTGTGAGCGATGTTTCGACTTACAAGTCAGACTATTTACTTGCCCCAGCTTTCCGGCACAAACGTGATAGCGGTGTGTCTTCACGACGAGCTTCGGACGCACGAAAAACGAGTAGCAGTGGCGATCAACACATCCCAGCACTCCAGGTAGTTGAAGATGAATCTACGGGTGCTGGCCTTTGTGACGCGGCTAAGAAAGGAACTACGGCTTTGAAAGTGGCAATCCAGAAGGCACAGGATGATGCCGATGAGAACAGGGAAGAAACAGAGTACCGTCATATATTAAAAGCCATCTGTATGGGGGTCCTCATTTTAAAGCTGATTTCCTCAGAATATCAAGAATACTTCTGCCGCGGCTGCTTCAGGTACATCTAGATATACTGCGCCCATCGGTCCCAGCGCGAATTGACTAACTGTGGACGGTCTTATTGTAGCTGCGACGAATTGGGGTATGCATGTACAGCTGTACTACGATTTAGGCTTTTTGTATCGTCCTTCATAACGTATAGATATTAGAGAGGCTAGGGCAGCATATCCACGAATTGACTTAAATATAATAATAATGAAAGCTCGTTAGTTGCCCTCCAAGCAAGTAGAGAATAGGAATAGGGCCAACTAATCGAATTCCTAAATTCTGCGGGCCAAGCATTCAATTATTATCGTACAGCGTCATGCACGGGTTGTTCCATCCTTGGTTCACTCAAAAGTGGTGCCAACCACTTGCGAAAAGTAAAACCTAGCACATGGCGATTCTTCTCGATATCCTCTGCGATCTCTTCATGGGTAGACAGCTCACACGGTTGATCCAAGCCAAATTCTCGTCTAATTCGTTTGGTCATCGATGCTGAATTATTCGGTGGTTGATGCAGAAGAACTACAGCGGATTGACATTCCGAGAGAGAGGTGCTTGAGGCTTATGATGATTCCTTGAACATGTCTCCTCGGTTTGTAGTGGAAGTGTCGGTAGTTATGTCTATATACAGTATACATAATCAACAGGTGAGTTCGTTCAATACGGACATTATATTGTTCTACATAGTGGATTAGGTGCCTTTGGGCAAGAATTCAATCCTCGGATTCTTCATGCAACGCGATAACTTGCTGAAGTCGGTATGGGATACGTCAATGGTCCCGCCAGCGTTTTGCCTTACGGCTAAGAGTCTGCTAACTCCGGTGTCTTCTCTCACTTATATACAAGACACCGAAAACTATATACAATACGGTAATTCTTTCATGTCAGGAAGAGGATGTTTCGGTTTCAGTTTATGATTTTACTTATCTTGACCGACTGGTGGCAGGAATTGGGATCCCACAAGATAAACTTGCAAAGATGAAGGCTGCTTGAAATCGGAGACGAAGCAGCACTTGTTTTCGAAAGGTCAGGAGTTCGTGATTCCAACCCGTGCAGATGTTATTCCTGCTCGGAGTGCGTTCCGTGAACGAGATCCGGTTAACATTGGCCATCGAGTAGCGCAAGTGTGAGGCTGAAGTAGCTCGGGGTGTTATTCGACGATGCGAGGATGGTGGAGGTTGGCTTGTACCTATTATCCTAGCGGACAAGGGCAAGGGGAAGGCACAACGGTCGGATGGCGACTACAGGATGTACCAAGCTTATGCTGGCTTGAACAAGTATAGCACTTCCGATCAAGCCAACATGCCAAGTGAGGAGGATTTGAGACGCCACAAATGCAGTGGGTGGCGTAGTATGATCACTGATAGTGTCAATGCCTTCAATCAGTGCACTATTGCCGAAAAGGACCGCCATAAGACTCGATTTCTGTCTGGAGAGGGGCAGGTCTATGAGCGTATTGAAGCTGGCTTTGACCTTACTGTCCTACCAGCTCAATACACTCAACGGAAGGAGGACTGTTTTAGGGACGTGGAAGGTTTCCTATTCTTCGTCGATGATGGCGCCACGTGTACTCAGAAGATGGTCGATGACGACGATAGCCAGAGGAATCCTCGACTGAGCAGCCGCGTGCTCTGACAGACGAGGTTCCGCCTGTAATCAAATCCGGGCCGGCGGATGGAGTGCCGCATCTTGCCAATAAACCATTGCCTGGATTGGTCGATGTCATTACGAAGGAAGGGGCGTCGCCAAACACTGCGCTGATGACTGCAGCGGAGCTAAAGGCTGACAAAGTGCATTGGCGAGTGTGTGGTAGTTGTTGCATGCTGCTGAACGCTCAGGTACGAAGTTCAATGCCTTGAAGACTCAAATTGCGGTAAGGGCGTACCAAAGCGCTTCTATGGCAGGTTGTGATTCGACGGGTTCGTCACCATTGGTGATGAACGAATGCAGGAGATTGCGATTATTGAGCTCCCAGTTGATAAGGATCAACTGATCGCTTTTGCTGGTCTTGCAGCATTCCGGGGCGGAATGCTTCGTTAATTAGCCTCTTTAACCAACCAGACACAGAAGGGTGTGTATTTTGACATGAATTGGAATGCTAGATTGCATATAATAGGTGTATGAGGCTTCTGACGAACGGGATATGCCACTATAGAGCAGCAGGAGGAGTTTCGTGTTTTCACTGACGCGTGCGACGTGGCCATTGGTGGAGCAGTAATGATCAGGAGAGCGCTCAAGGAGGTACTGCGGATGGAAAAAAATCAATAGCTGGATGACCCTTGCTCCGATGGAAGAGTCAACGAGGACAATAAAAGAAAAGAAGCGTTTTGTGGAGCTCATGAGAGAGCAGTTGGCCATGGCTCCTGTGGTGTGGGATAAACGTAATGATGTAGCGTTGTACGATATGAACTGTGCTGGATTTTATTCGTCTAAGCTCCCACCTTCCATAGGGAACTATCATGTCTTGGATGTGGAACTTACGGCTACGAAGTTCATGATACATAAGATTGTCTTTATGGCTATGAGGTCGTAGATACCGTTACAGATCCATAGTGACCACAAGCCACTGGAGACCCTATTGAAGGGCAAGTCACTTCCCCCGGATACGCCCAAAATTGAGATACGCCGGGCGGGGTGTGCGTTAGAAATTACGAGCTGTATGGATGCCGAGATTTCGTACATTCCAGGGCCGTTTAACATTCTGGGAGATCACCCTTCGAGAATGTATGCGCCAGAGGTGGATCCGACACTGCGCTTCAGTGGAGCGTCGCGCTTTTTTTGCCTGGCCTTTGGAATTACCGGGTCCGGACAACGCGTTGCCCATACCGTAGGCATGTGATATCAGTGAGGACGAGGAAAAACTGGCTTTGAAAGTGGCAGGGTGTGTCCCGGTTAATCCAGACACGCAAACACAGCAGATGAATCCCGAGTGGTTCAAACGTGCGATGGAGAAGTGACTAGGAGTGACTATTGACCTCTTCGCCAATTGCCGCAATGCGCAGTTGCCCTTTTAAGCTTCCGATGAGCTAAGGGGTGATACTTAGGGCGGCGACATTTTCACAGTTTCGCTGGGTGAGGTTTTCGAGCGGGCCTGCCCGCCGTGGGATTCGACTTTCTGTTTCTTATCATATTTGAAGTCTTTTGCAGATGTGAAAGCGGTTGTCGTGGCCCCAGTCTGGACTGGTGCAACATTGTTTCCGATATTCTGCAGCAGGCTGATGAATATGCCCTTGGTTGTGCCACCAGTTGACAGCATATACTTTGGGGACAATGGGAAGCCGATGCCGGTACCATCTTGGTGTTTGCCTATTGGCCCAGTGCGCAGCGACTGCATCGACCCTTTTCAATACCTTACAACCCAGCCATTTTGGCAACGGTTGGGCTTTGCGAGACGACCGTATTGTGTGCACAACTTGTACGGTTCTGTAGTTCGTGCGCAGCGACTACATGTACCCTTTTCAATACCTTCCCCAGCCATTTTGGCAACGGTTGGGCTTTGCGAGACGACCGACAACTTGTACGGTTCTGTAGTTCGTGCGCAGCGACTACATGGTCCCTTTTCAATACCTTCCCCAGCCATTTTGGCAACGGTTGGGCTTCGCGGGACGGCCGTATTGTGTGCGCAACTTGTATGGTCCTGAAGTTTTGTGCGTGGCGGTGGTCACACGAGCACAGGCACGTGCTCAAAGGGAAATAGACTATGAGGGTCGCTGAAGGAGGCGCTGGAGCGGCAGGATGAGGCCCGTGAGGGGGATTTCCGGGCAAGCTTAGCGTAACGGATGGCCTGACGCGAGGTGAAGGACGATTCGGTGCCTGACTTCGGTACCGGTCACAGTGGAGAAACCAATGCCTGCTAGCCAAAAACAGGTAAGTGAACAGCCTGTACCCGTGCTTCTATATGTGAGTGGTGATGAGCCAATTTCGAGTCTCCAAGTGGCAACCGGCAATGCGTCGGACATAGCGTCCGCGCTCCTTCAGGATGATACACCTTTTGACATGATGGCCGGCTTGGGGCTAGCCCCGCGGGGCAAATCTTATCAGGACCCACATACTTCTGGCGGGGTGGGTGATTGGCCGCTGACTATGGAAGATTTGTTCCGGGAGGAACAGGTAGCGTTGGACGATGCGGTTGCGGACCGCGATGTCAGTTGGCAGGCATACCAGCAGCTGAGAGAAATTCAACAGGATAGTGACAACGTTGAGTTGGCTACGAGCAGCGGGCCTGGTTCTGGAACCGTAGGAGTGGTCTGAAGACCAGCTTTCTCAATTGCAAAACGAGCAAGTATGATTGAAGAGAACGATGTGGATGTGGGTTCTCGCCCGTTGGAAGGAGTTCGGCAGCAGCAACAGATAGTCCGCCCGTATTCCGTATCGGATTCTATTGAAAACGATGAATCTCAGGTAACGGTCAGATTCAACAGGGTGAAGCTTTCCAGAAAGAAACGGCGGGCGCCGCGAGACAACTGATTGTGGATGAAGATAGTCCGTTGTTACATCAATCGTTCCGCAGTAATTTGCCGTACATGCAATCGTTGGCTGTCACGTTGCCTTCCAGAGGGGTAGGAAAGTTCGTGGCCAGATGCTGTGGCGGAGTTTGTATCGGCGTATAATGCGATAAGGTCTTTGATAGCAGGTATGACGCCGTATACGTTGGCAACACAAATGGCCGGGTGTTTTCAAACCATGTTGATGCGGATTTAGTGGACATCTTGCGTGATGATTGGGAAGATTTGGCAACGCCTGACCTGCTAGAGCCTGATCCCACAGCTCTATATAGCAAGGCTTGAGCAATGGAGCCCACCAGGCGAACCGTTGGCGGGTGGATGTTCCCATGTTCAACATTGGACGAGTGGTGATATTTCGCTCTGCATTAGAACCGCATAAGTCAATGCCGGAGTGCGTGGGACCAGCTAATGTGGTGGCGCTAGACCCTTCGGTCTATCATATAGTGCGTATGCGGGCGACGGGATAGTTGTATCGAGTACATATGAGCAATGGTCGGGTATACGGAGTACCACTTGTGGAACCGGAGCAAGGCAAGGCTCATCGTTGCCTCAACAGTACGGTATATACTAACTGGTTGATATACGAGCTACCCTTTAAAGAAGCTAGCGTTGAAGAACGGAATGAGGTAGTGTATGCTCTCACCAAGTGTCCGGAGGCCACGTCTTGGCAACGGGATGTGAACATGTATTGGGCTCGATGGATCGCTCTCGCCCATAAACATAAACATCAGCGTACGGATGGTTTCAGCCCGACGATGAGATGGTGGTGGCTCGACATATTTGAGAACGGTTTGTTGCCAGGTGGAAAATTGCAATATACAAAGGGTATCGTTTTGCTCTCGACACAGGATATAGGCGCAAGATGCTGGATGAATGGCGAACTAAACATGCAGCTCGCGTACGTGGGGGATAGCCTGGTCAGTCGGAGGATATTTAAGGAGTCGTACACATACTTACATTATACAATATCTTAATTATTTATCATAACATACAATTGCCAGAAAGTAGTAGTGCTATATTTAAATGTTACCTAGAGCGGAATTTTTCGATTACAGGTATTGCTTCCCTTGTGGCAAAAGAAACGCTGCAGCCAGGACCTACCCGTTCCTGGGGGGATGTAATAACCACAAGGGTACAGCTCCTTAATGAGACTATTGAACTACAGAGGTCTACCCTATGGAGTGGTTCAGGAGATGCTGCCAGAGTGATTTGTGTAACATTTCTTTTTTTTACGAGTATTTCGATGCGTGTATATAGAACGCAAGACCATCCGCATACGTCTACCATATCATCAGCCGCTGAACTTCAAACCTCAGCAGGCAGCACAGTCAGGGGCATCCCACTCTCCCCTTCACTTCCGTAGCGTTATACAAAACAGTAAGACTAGCAAGACATCTGGCGTATGCCTATGCATTTCTGAATCTCTGGGCCTCGAACAGCACCACATCATCATACGCCTCCCACACTTCTTTCCACACGTCTCCACAGGGTTCATTGGTGCACACTCTGTCACGCATGTGCGCGGATCGCACAAACAGCAGTGCAACGGTATCATTCAACCACCCGAACTCACTGTCAGGAGGCGTACTCACCGTTGCCATGGCCACCGGTGGATAGATACTCGCACCAGCAAGTGCAGAAGGCGATTCGTCAGACCTCGTGCTTGCAGGCGTTGCTAGAGTGGACTCCGCCGCAATAGGTCTCTCTAGCGTAGGTGGGGCTATCGTAGGTACACGCACACGCAAACGCACACCCTCAGCACACGTCGAGTACATCTGCGACAGGCGGTTGCGCTTCTGCTGGACCGTCCACCGCATCAGTCGCGTGTACGCCTCGCGCGTGTGGTCAATGTCCTGCACCGTGAACAGCCCCACAATCTGGATGATGCACCGGTACAGCTGCTCCTCCAGACTGCTCCTGTACCGGTACTCAGCGACCTCGTCCACTCTGTCCAGGTTGCGCAGAGACGTGCTGACAGCCTCAAACACGTCGTACAAAAGGTACACAGGCCGTGCAGGCGTTGCCTGGCAACCAGAGTCCCCAGGAAACTTGGTACAGACACCACTGACACTGAGTTCCCCCTCGTCTCCGCTGGTACGTCCATTCTGCTTATTCGCCGAGTCCGTGTCCACACACACCGCGGACGTACCGTTGCAACCCCGCCCCGCACTTTTGCAACCAACCGGCGTATGGTGTGCCTGTGCGGTGTGTATGTGATCCGCATTGCACCCGTCTCCCACCGGAGACACTTTGAGCCTGTCGGCCCTGTCCAGAACACACAGGGCCTGGGCCGCGTTGATACGGATCTTAAAGTTCTTGCTCTCCTTTACTGCCACACACAGCGCACGCACACCCTCCTGGTACGCGCGGGGCGTGACGTGGGGTGTACTGAACACGTGGGACATGGCATAGCAGGCATTCCACCGAAGCTTCGCAGACCCCTTCCCGATTGTCTGTGTAATGCAGTCTATGGCCCTCTGCACCGTGTGCTGGTCTGTGGGGACCGTTGGGGTGCCGGTCAGGCGCACCAGACAGCCCAGCATGCGGATGCGGTTGATGAGGACCTTGTCGTTATCGTCTGAGGCCGACAGGGCTATGGCCAGCAACTTGGCATGCAGAGTGTCCCACATATCACCCTGGATGCCCTGTCCCATACCTTCGTCCACAACCTGCACCTCCGGCCCACTCAGCCGGTCCTCTTTCCCCTCCAGCAGGTCCCGCACCAGCGCATCGCACAGCGACGCCAAGGCCCACGAAGCCTTCAGCCGTACCGTCAGCACACGCACCTCAAAGGCTCGTCTACCTACCTCAGCCAGATCATTCAGGAACAGCCCGTCCCGGCGGATACGCTGCAGGCACACGAGCATACCCAGCGCACGGAAGGCAGACGACTTCACCTGAGTGGCCGTGTCCTGTGAGAGCCCCAGCAAGGCCACCTTGAGCTGCATCACTTGCAGTGGTTTGAGTTGTGATACCGTGCACCGGTTCATGCACGCACACATGTCTGAGGCCAGCACACGCAGAGAGGGCTCGTCCTCGCTGATGAGGTTGGGGACGTACAAGTACAGCACTGCCTTTGCCAGCGACAGCAACCGCTCGCTGGCTGCGGCCGGGCCCTTGACAGGTGTCAGTGTCAGTGTCAAACTACTTTGGTCAGGTGATGGCAGTGGTGGCGGATTGTTCAGAGATCGGTTCTGCATCAAGGCAGCATCGTACTGGCAGTCCTCATCGCTGGATACTCCTGTGTTGTCCCCTTCGGTATTAGTCCGCGTATTCGCACCCTCACCTACAGATCCTGCGTGGCGTTGCCTAGTAGTCCGTTCGACACCATTCTGTTCTTTGTCCTGCTCATTCAGAACTCCACTGACACTTTGATCTCCGCCTTTGCCCGTATTTCCCATCGCTACCGCTTCTCCAATACATCTCTCGCTCTCATGCTCGTGGCCCTCCATCTCCACACCGTCACCTGCATCCCAGTCGCCTATCTTCGCATCCAGACTCTTCAAATACTCCACCAACACGTATCCGGTAGCCAGTTTTGCCCCGACATCTTTCTCGCGTTCTATCTTTTGTGCCTCTCTCTCCGCCCCACTCGGCCTACCTACACTGGCTACCCCCGCATCAGCGGCTGTGGCTGTGTCGACAGTTGCGCTGGCGCCCCCATCACAACCGGTCGCGCTACACGCAGCCGTGACTTCGTTCGCATTCGCCTCTACTGCCCACCCACGTGGCGTCTCACCCGTCCTATTCCTTGTGTGTGTAGGAGACTGAGGCTGAGACTCTGGCTGTGGGAGTGCGTATGCCTCTGCTGGTGTAGGTATATACCTACCAGTATGTGCATGTGAACTCAGCGTGGTGTTCACCAGCCATTCCAGGCCCTGTCCGATACTCCACCACGGCTCAAACAGCTCCAAATGCCCCCGCGCGAGATAGCACAGCGTCTGCAGTGCTTCTTTGCGCACCTCCCATGCGACGATCTGATTGGTCGCCAGTCTTGTCAGACACTCGCCGAGTACGTGGTCACTCTCCACGTGTCTGGCTGCGCCGTAGCCCGAGAACCGACCATTGGTTCTATTTATAGATTGCCCATGTGTATTTATAGATTGCTCATGTGTATTATCGACAGTCGAATCATGCGCCTCTACGCGAACACTACCACCACACGACCGTAGCAGTCGCAGTCTCTGGTCACCCGGGAGATCGGCCCGACACACCGCACCCAGACACACGATTATGGCCACTAACAGCTCACACGCATGTGCTTGCTCTGCAGTACGGGTGTGTGTGAGTGTAGCAGAAGCGTTAGGCCTGGGCGGGTGTGCGTGTGGGGGCCCATGCGGGTGGGTGTTATCTGTCTGCAGCTTATACGCCAACCCCTCGTGGCCCTGAGCGCGGGCGGGAATGAATGCCTCAGCCACCTCGGGCAGCATGGCATAGACGGCCCTCACCACCATGTACAGCAGATGCAGCGGCAGCCGAGCGTAGGGGGTGCCCAATACACAGCTGCTCAGACACTTCAGCAACGCTATCTGTGTGCCTGTGTCATGCTCAGCCGACGCTTTGTGCAGTGCCGACACTAACTCCGTGTGCAGACAGATCAGCGAGTGCCCTAGCAGCTGTGACCGGGACGTGAACGCGAGCGAGGACTTGGCCGTGGCCTTGCGCATGTGTGTCTTTGGGTGTGTGTGCGTCTGTGATGGGGGGGTGTGTGTTTGTGGTGGCACATGTTCCCGTGTGTGTGTGTGGGATTGTGTCTGTGGCCGTGGCTGTTTGAACCCTTGGCGGGTGCTCTCCGAATCTTTCTCATGCACCCCGTCAACAGATCTATGATCGCCTACGTTATCCATACCTACGTTATCTCTACCTACATACTCGTACCCGCGCGGGGCCGTACACCCGGGGGGAGTCTCGGCCATAGACAGATACGACTGAGTGCCCTCCACAAACGCGCACAGCGTCATCGCCACATCGGCGCGCGTCTCCGGTAGATCCACATGCCGCAGCAGCCATATAAGGCTAGTCCCCTTTCCCGGCTGCGCGGCCCCCGATGCATTCGACAATAGTCCCAGTTTCCCCCACAGTAGGTACTTCTCCGATGCGGGCGAGTGTCGGGCCATGGCCTGCAGCAGTGTGAGAGCGTTGTGTCGTACCCCCTCCCAAGTTGAGCTCGGGCGTGCGTGCGTGCGCGCGCGTGTGTGTGTGTGTGAGTGTGTGTGTGCGAGAGAGAGCCCATCCGCGCCTCCTCCATACACCCCCCTCTCGCCTCCCGGGATAAGCTTATCCTTATTCCGTCCTGTGCGTATTTGGCGCACACCCGATCTGGCCGGATGAGTGGCGGCGAGTGCGTAACTGACAGGTGGTCTGTTGCTATCCGTCGTGTCACCCGTCGCCATATCAGACATCTCACTCTCCGTCAGCAGCAGCGCAGGTATCAGCTGCTGCTTGGTGTTGAAGATGGTGCATGTTTTTAAACCCACCATCGCCGGCTTACCGCGCATGTCTCTACCGCCGTGCACACGTGTGGTATCGGTTGCCCCGTTCGCCGCATGTATAGGCAAACCACTGACCCCCACTTCTCCATCAACGCCTGTGTGCGTATCTGTGGCCCTGTCCATACTTGCACCTCCCGACACTGCAGTACCCGCACCACCCACCGAATCTGACCCGCGCGCACCCAAACCCGTGACCGGTCCCTTGCCCAAGCCCTGGGTGCGTTCCGTCTGATACGCGTACCTCAGCACCAGCGCCACCGCCTCCTGCGACAGGGGCCGATGCACCCGTTTTGTGGCCATCACAATAAAGTGCACACTCCTGAGAAGATTGAGTGCGAGTTTGGTGTGGGCGTCGTGGATGTGTCGCACACCCACCGGTGGGGTGTGCGCATCAAATGCCACAGATTCGGCCAGCCGCTTGAGCTCGGCCATCATCCATACGTAGGCATCTGTGGCGTTTTTGTCCGCCTTGGCGATCTGTACGTGCGAGTAGAAGTTACCCACACACGTCACAGCCAATCGCGTGCACGTGATACTCAGCGCTTCTGCCTCCCAGCCAAACAGATTGTCGCTTTGGCTCGGCCGCTGCTCCTTGTTTCTCGTGTTCTGCCCATTCCACTTGCCACCCCTTGTGGAGGTGTGCTGCGAGTGAGAGGGCCTCCGCCTTCCTTGCACCTTGGTATTAGTCCGTGTCTGGGCTTTAGCGGGAGTCTCTGTGCCTGTACGCGTGGCTACGGTCGTGTGAGCCGTCACGGTTGGCGGGGTGCGGAGGAAAGTGCGCAATGGGGACTGAGTTCCGGTTACAACGCCCGGGTGACTATGGTACACACTGCCCCCGTATCTGTAAAGAGAAAAAAACCCCCCGAAGCATTCATACATCAATAAACTAAGTTTATTCGTCAGAAGAGCTTATTCGCATAGAGCAGGTATCACGTATACTGCACATGACTGACTGCTACTAACACCTCAGCAGAAGCCTGGACATATGCTTGCGAATATATGCACGCATTAGTCTGCTATGAGTGGCCATTAAACAAAACTACCCTATATCTACCCATATAAGAGTACTTGGCATAGCTGTGTATGTATGTATTTGCTCGGCGAAAAGGGACCGGTTAGCAACGGACTATGGCCCACTTTCGGCTTCTTAGTCAAACACCCGAGTACACCAGAGGTTAGAGGATTATGAACAAGCAGCGGTATACACACATTGGTATTTAAAATATTGTAATGCGATATACATACACCGGTATATATGCAATAGTAAATGATATATTGCATAGCGACTAAGGCTAGTGGGCCAAGAACAATCTTTATATACAATATAATATACGTATCAGCATGTGCAACATTGTGATTTTGTCGCATACTCTCATTCCGTATCTGTATGAATCAGAAGTGTCTTCGTTTCGTATACCTCGATAAACTCCTACGTAGTGCGTAAACGTAGAGCATGCATGACTTCGGTGTAGCTGGCATACGCATACCCCGTTTCTCCAACCTATTCCTTCTCCATGTATATGTGCACATACGCGTATAATATAGACGTAGATCAATGAAATCACTTAAAGCTTAAATCCACAAAACCCTTAGTCCAAGGAGAGTGTAGCGAGCAACACCTCAATTCAGGTACGGCAGAGTATATATTCCGACATACATACACATACAGAATTCATATCAAGTGGAAGACATAGTCTGGTATATGGAGAAAAACACACTTAATAGTGACTGTAATAACCCCCTGCCCTCGCCTGCACAGCAGAGGGCAGAGATAGAAATACAGTGCGTTCCATACAGTATATATATATATATATACATATACATACATACATACACACAC